TTATAGTAATTTTTATAAAAGAACTATATTGTTTTTCACATTGAAATTAATTTTGCTAAAATTTATTTTAATAAAATTTTAATAACTCATAACATGATAACTTAGGCAAATTAAATCCTAATAGAAATAATGGAAACATAGTGATTTAATTTGTTTGTCATTTATAATTTAGTTTAGTTTGTACTAAAGAGTGTAAAATGAATAACTTATGTCAAATTTAAAATATTTTTATTGTAATTTAAAGTAGATAATTCCTTTAGTTTATTTTAAAAAATATGCTTTTGTGTCATTATCTTATTAATTATATTAAATTATGTAAATGACATATACTTTTTTTTTTGAAAAAAATCTATAAGTCTATATTTACTTTAACCAAAGAGGATACAAATTCTAATTAAATGATGATAAAAGTTGGTCTCCTATGAAATTTTAATAATAGATTTTATATTTAATAAATTTTAAATAAAATATAAATATAAATATAAATATATTATTTTATTCCACTTATAATTATGTAGAATATCGATTTTATTATTTTAATAAAAAAATTTACCACTTTTTAATTAAAATATAAAAACTTATAAATAAATTCTACAAAAATTTTAAAACTTTATTCCTAACATATTTGTAAGCAAATATAAAATCTTATTGTTCAAATAGATATTGTTAAAAGGTATCCATTTCAAAATAAAATGACTAAGCTAAAAATGGCAGTAGGATCAACCGTTGATGTAATCAAAGATCATACCTCACAAAATCTAGAACTAGAATCCATGGAAGTATACATGTGTCTGAAAAGTACAGAATCAAAACCCAGTTTTATTGTTTTTAATTATAGAGCTTTTTGCTCCTCTGCGACCTTCGTCAGGTCTCAGAGAGAGAAAGGAAGTGCAGGCCAAGAGCGAAAAATAATAATAATAAATATTATAATGAAAAAAAATTTGAAAAACCTCCCAATGCTAAAATCCTATTGTATTCTATCTTAGTTCAGAGTAATGGAATCAACATCCGAGGCAACCTGGTTCACTTCCCTCGCCGAGGTTGGCCTTGATTTATGCTCTTCTTCGATCTGTAAGTGAAATTTAGATGTCCATTATTTATTATTTATATTTATATATGCCTCCAGGTTACCTTTCATATGTAATGTGTATGTGTGCACGAATCTGTGGTTTCTTTTGTGTTTTGAATCTTTAGGTTTTGCAAGTGTTCGGTGTGTTTATATATGGTTCTGGAGGATTTCTAGGGTTTTCGTTGCTGTGGATCGTCGAATCTGTGCGTTTTCATTTTGTGAGAGCTGGTGTTTGGAAATTTTCTCTAGGGTTTTTTGTTTTTTTTTCCTTTTAGACGGTGAGAAAATTCTGGAAATGGAAGTAAATTCTGATTTTCAAATTTAGAAAGTTTTTTTTTTTGTTCACCTTCTTGAAATGAAAATAAAAATCGAAGTTCCCGCTCAACCACGGTGTTTAGGTTGTCATTCCCCATTCTCCTTTGTTAGCGTTCGCTTTACCTGAAAGTAACGGAAGTGTAGTAGGTGTGTCGTTTGTCTTTACCTTTTTTTTTTTCCATCAATTGTCATCTTCTAGAGAGCTAACGACTTAGGGATTATTCGAATCTAATTGTAAATTTAAGTTCTCTAGAAAACCTTAAATTATTTACATCTAAACTGATTGGTCTTGTGAAAGTTTTGGATGAAGTTTTGGCTTGAGTTATTATGTTTTGTTTATGCCTAAATATGTTGAGGAACAAATTCCGTTCTGTATATTGGATGGGGTGAAAGAATGCAGCAAAGTAATACAAGGAGATTAAACCATCATATTCATTGCAGTTATTCTCTCTTGTTTTCAGGTTTGATGAAATCTTCTTTCTAGTGCTTCCTTGTGGATTTAGCTGTTCATCATGGCGGATACTAGCTCAGTTGATGTGATTTTGGAGTTTTTGCGTAAAAATCGCTTCACTAGAGCAGAAGCAGCTCTCCGCAGTGAGCTTAGTGGCCGCCCTGATTTGAATGGGTTTCTTCGGAAACTTTCTCTAGATGAAAAGGACTTGGGTAAGGTATTGGATGGAGAGAGTGGGAAGAAATCAACCAGTGAGAATCAAATCTATGGCCCTCAGAATACTAGTGAAGTTTCTAAGGAATTGATTGTGAAAGAGATAGAGTGCGGGACTGGCAGAAATGGTTCTGAAAGCAAATGGCGAAACAGTGCTTCTACTGGTGAACAAAGTAAACCTAATGACAGAACCGTATTAAGTGAGATGAGCTTTACTTTCTCTAAGGGTTCTGGAGATACTCGGCTTGATCTGCATTCATGGAATTTTAATCCCAGTAACGGTTCATCTGATCCTTATCAAAATGATGTTACTCCAAGTAACTACAACTCTTTGGATCCCCCAAAATCAGAGCAATCAAGATATTGTGCCAGTGAAATTCCTGATATTGTGAAGGCCAATGAAAAGACTGGGGAAGAGATTATATTTTCTGGTGAAAAGAGAACTTCATGGCATGGAAATACAAGCAAGTCCAATCCAGAATCCAAGCATGGCCATGCGCAGCCAAGTGAATCTAAGGAGCTTGATAAGCCGCTTAAGTCTTGTGCCACGTACTTGAAAGGAAACTTTGCAGATAATCCATGGTCAAGAAATGAAGAGCTCACAAATTCATCTTCAGACGTGTGGAAGGATTGTTCTGTTAAGACTGTTTTCCCATCCTCCAAGGGGGAAATCTCCACTAGTTACGAAATTGTTACTGCTGCTGATAAGAAAGAAGGAAAAAAGAAAGCAGACATGAATGATGTTCGGGCAGCCATTAAAGAGCAGGCAGACGAAGTTGGAAGAGCTTTATACTTCGGGAAGTGTCAAAGTAGTTATGAGCAAAACAATAACACCAGCTTGGGTTTTTCTCTTGCATCCGATAATCCGAAAGAAGAGTTACCTAGGCTGCCCCCTGTTAAGCTTAAATCTGAGGACAAATCACTCAACATTAACTGGGAGGAAAAATATGAGCGTGATGGTTCAGGTGCAAAGCTAATCAGTGCTGATAATGCCCTCCTCATCGGCTCATATTTAGATGTTCCAGTGGGACAAGAAATCAACTCTTCAGGTTATCTCAAATATAAACAATATATTCTCTCTCAAGTATAAAGCATTCTCTTCAGAATAAGAAATAATTTTAGTTTCCATGAAAGCTTTGCCTTCTAGCTACTTACTATGATTGATGATTTATTTGGTTTCTCTTGAATTTTATGCATTTCTGCCAATCTTTTTTATTAATGCAATGTTAGCTACTCAATGGAGGTGACCTTCTGTTTCAAGCTAATTGGCTTCCGATATTTCTGCCATTATTTTGTTCTTTTTGGCAAGGTTTTTAGTACTTCTTGTCTTTTACCTATTTGTTGAAGGGCTTATTATCATTCATATAGAAAGTCTTTTTATTTAAAAAAAAAAAATCATTCGTATAGAAACTCATTTTCCATAGAATATTTTGGACCCTGACTGGGTAACAGGCTAATGGCGTAACAAGGTTTTTTGCTGAATAACTTACATTTCTCTCATGTTGACTAATTAAATGTGGGTCGTTGATAAGAGTAAGCTGAAATTTGTATGGGCCAGTTAAAGTTGTGGTCTCCTTAGTAAACTTCTAACTGTCATGCTTAACGGTTTGTTTTATGTCTTTTTCTTCATACCAGTGTTCGGTGCTGTTTTTGTAAGTAACGAAGTATTTAGATTTTTCCCGAGCCTTTTTTATCATATGATAAGTTTGTTCTCTGTTTCAGAGCATTGCCAGATGCTGTTATAATGCAACAAACTATCATCCTTCATTATTTTATTTATTTCAAAGAAAAAAAAATCCTTCATTACTTGACGCCTGATGCATAAGAGATGCTCATGGATTCTAATTTTTGACACCTGGATCAATACATAAGCTTTTTTAGTGTTTTTTTTTTTAATTATGTTAATTGATGTTGATTTAAAAATGAAATCTAAATCATGTCTTACTTCTGATGCCACGTTTTAACTATTTTCTCTTGCTAATGCTATTAACAGAAATATTTAACAATATACTTTGCATGTTTATGATATCCCTGACAAAAAGTATACATGTCTTATCATAGGCTTAAAATTTATAAACATTTTTAACTGTTTTGCTACGTCTTTGCATTGCTGAACACTTTATGCAAGCCATTGGCAATTTATATTAAAATTGATATTTTTACAGTTAGAAATTCCTTTTAGTGATTTATATAAATAACATTTCTTCTGTTCTGTCCCAGTATTTTATGGAAAACAGAAAACACCTAGTTAGCATATGTCTAGAGGAAGTTTGCTATTATCAACAATAGTCTATGCTTGTTTTGTTCAAGCCAGCTGGCTCGTTCATATTGCATTCCATGTAAATTCTCGAAGAGTTTCAACTTTCTGCTTCTTTCAATTTTCTTGGATCAATTGCTTAATTATTATGTATGATCTGAACCATAATAATTTTTTCTTTCCCGTTTGTTGCATTTTTTCTAATTATTAGTTTCTCTTGAGTTCTTTTGAATCGGTTGCTTGAATTGGACATTGCTTCATCTATGTATGATCTGGATACTTGCTAGATTTTTTGTCTTTTATGATTTTGTTGCATCTGTTCTTTTGTGTTTGATGAATATGATCTCTTGGGTTCTTTCGGATCAATTGCTGGAATGTCTGTCTAATCTGGAACCTTGTCAATTTTTTTCATGTTGAATCTTTTCTTGCTACTATTTTCTATTTTGTGAATGAATTCTCCTCTGAATTCTGCAGATTACCTTTTAATTCATATTTTGATAGTACAGGTGGGAAAAAAAATGCAGGAGGCAGCTGGTTATCTGTCAGTCAGGGAATTGCAGAAGATACATCTGATTTGGTTTCTGGGTTTGCTACTGTTGGTGATGGATTAAGTGAGTCTGTTGACTATCCAAACGAGTGTTGGGACTCTGATGAATACGATGACGATGATGATGTTGGATATATGAGACAACCAATTGAGGATGAGGCCTGGTTTCTTGCTCATGAAATTGATTACCCCAGTGACAATGAGAAGGGTACCGTGCAAGGAAGTGTCCCAGACCTGCAGGAAAGAGGTCCAACTAAAGGTGAGGACGATGATCAATCTTTTGCTGAAGAGGATTCTTACTTCTCAGGTGAGCAATATTTTCAGGGAAAAAATGTCCAACCAGTTACAGCCTCAGACGATCCTATAGGGCTTTCAATGACCGAAATGTATGGGAGGACTGATGATCATGATTTAATTGCTCAATATGATGGACAATTGATGGACGAAGAAGAGCTGAATTTGATGCGTGCTGAACCTGTATGGCAGGGATTTGTCACTCAGACAAATGAACTCGTTATGTTGGGGGATGATAAAGTTTTGAATGATAGTGGCAGACATCGCTTGGATGATATTTGCTTGGATGATGATCAGCATGGTTCAGTTAGGTCGATTGGTGTAGGGATCAACAGTGATGTGGCTGACATTGGAAGTGAGGTACGTGAAAGTTTGATTGGAGGCAGCAGTGAAGGTGATGTAGAGTATTTTCATGATCATGATCTTTCAATTGGTGGATCCAGGCACTCTCATCTTGAGTCAGACAAGAAACTTATTGATAGGTTAAACAAGGATAAAAAGAAAAGTAACAAACATGAACTTGGCAAATACATTGTTAGCGATAAAGGTGTTAGCACACAGGTGAAAAGTCCTATAGATGGGGGTTTTTCATTTCCCCCGCCATTAGGGGAAGGGCAGTTGATGCAGGTGGGATCTAGTAAATCTTTATTGACAACCAACTGCATTGCTGTTGTTGCTGAAGAAACTGATGAATGTTTAAATGCTCTGATGGGAACTGATGACATGCTTGCCATGTGGAGGCGGAAAAGCAGTGATTCTTCCACCGTCAAAAGTTTTAGGGATGAAAATAATGTCAATGCTGTCCGATCTGCAAATTCAAGTCCCTCAACACTCTCCAATTATGGTTATGGTGAAAGAGAGACTGGCAAGAAACTAGAAGATGGGAAAATTGGTGGTGCAAGGGAAGAAGATCCTGGAGCATCCCTTGAGGATGAAGAGGCAGCTGCTGTTCAAGAACAAGTAAGGCAAATCAAGGCACAAGAGGAGGAGTTTGAGACCTTCAACCTGAAGATCGTGCATAGAAAAAACAGGCATGTTTCTGTGAGACAACTCAAATTATCGATTGCTTCATCTTGTTATATTTATTGGTCAACATTCATATTTTTCTCCCTTTACCTTTCTGGGACAAATAGAGGTGGGAACTTGCTAGTCGAATGGGCTCATTATTCTTGATCTTGGTAACCAGTAGCATTGTCCTCTTGATTAATCAAATGTTAGAAGCTGTTACTGCCAAGATAGGTTCTGGTATTAATGACCTTCTCATTTCTTGTCTCTAGGTTTAAATTGATGACATCATGAACCTTCTCTCTAGGTCTCATCTTACCTGAAGATATATTAGGAGATTCCTTGGATAGGTGTAAGCACATTGTGAACTTTCTTTATTACCATTCCATTATCAACGATGCCTTTTCATCTTCTACTAATAGTAAATATAGTTATGAGCCTATGACTAAAACTCATGTGATAGCTCGATTAAAGGGGAATGCCAACCAGCTGAGCTAACTGCTGTTGACATTACACCTTTCTTTTTTACTTCACTTTTTTGTTTGCTTCCATCAAAACAAGTTTGGTTGGCTGGATAACATTCTGAGATTTAACTAAGCAATTACAAGAAAAGAATAAAAAGAGCTGCTTTCCAACATTGTATTGCAGCGTAGAAAAGACATGCATTAGTTGCTATTTTTGATTATATTTTTAAGCCAAAGTAAAACGTCTGAAGAGAATTAAATACCTTCTATGCAGATAATTCTGTTGCATTGAAGTGTAGATGCAGGAAAAGAGGGGGGTGGGGGGGTGTAAAAATTTGATTTCTCGGGTGGGAATCCCCGGGCTTTCTTTTCCTTTCTCGTTGTAGGACCAGAAGGCTTGCGGATTCGGCTCTTGCACTTCTTAATCTCTCTTCGGTGATCTCTGGCACTATCAAGGAAGAAATTTAGACGTGGGACTTTATTGTGGCTCCTAAGTCCAAGAGGAAGATCATCGCCCTCGTTTTTTTTTCTATATTTTGGGTTGTTTTGGAAGGAGAGAAATAGGAGAAGTAATATTGGGAATAAGAACATTTCAATGGCAGAGGATAACATCAAAGGAAATAGGTAAATTGTGGCTGTGGAAATCCTTGAATAGCTGTCTACTGTTTGTATGACATACAAAATAGGAAATAGGTGAATTGGGACTTGAAGATTTTAAATATTTTGCTCGAAGGCAAAACCGACCATGAATGCGAATGATATTGAATCTTTTAGATACTTTTTTTTTGGTGAACGATCTTTTAGGTACTTTTTCTCTTAAAGATTGTAGATGTTTATTTAACTTGGCGCCATTGATACCTGTTTAATGAATGCATTTCTTCTCTAAAATATTGCTTTTCTTCTAATAATGAAAAGGCAACTAAAAACTGTAAATGTAATCATAGAAGTATTGAAAATGTACAAGAATTTAGGGAGAGAACACAACTTCCATTGATAATGTGCCAAGTGGGTGCCAATAAAAGTTTCACGACAAGAAGCTTGTCAAATTGTCCATAATAGCCCCTAGTTTTTTTAATATATTTCCTCCTTTTCTTTTGAAGAAAAATCCCTAGTTCCTATTTGCAAGAGAGTGGATATTTTAAACAAAAATAAAGGGTCTGGGACCTAGTTTCTTTAAATCTATGAAATGGAAAACAAATGCCCTCAAAAGCCTTTATTTTCCTTTCCTTAAAAATAATCCAAAGAATGGCCCAAGGAATGAGCAAAATAAATCGTTAGCCAGCCAATAAGGAAATCTATAAGTTAAGCTAGTGGGATTTGGGCACCAAATGGACCAGTAAAATTAAGCAACTAAAAAAAAGTATAATTTCAAAGGATCAATGTGAATTTTGTTTTTTGAGAGAAAAAAGTGTAATTAGTATATTTAGTGAAGGCACTAAGGGTGCCACTCATATGCAAAACATTTACAAGTAGTCAGTGAGGATATCTACGATGGCCCCAAAATCCTCTAAGCTATAAATGTCATGTCCCAAAGCCATGGAACCAACATAATGTAGTCATTGTCTCTAAATTTGACAAGAATTTCTTCTTTGCCCTCAAAAGCCCTATTATTACTCTCTTTTTAAGTGACCCACATGATATACAAGGGTATGAGGCGAGGCATGCCTTTATCCTTACACATCCATAACCCAATTAATACCCAAAAACTATGCACAGAAGTCCAGAGACTGTAGGTGAACGGGCACCAGAGCATGATGTGGTTGCTGGATTCGGCATCATCTTTACACAAGAAGCATCTGTTGACCATGATTTTTCCTCTTTTCATCAAGTTATCTATAGTCAGAATACGTTCATTTACCACTTCCCAAGCAAAGAAAGAAATCCAGGTTGGTGCTTTAATACCCAAAAACTATACACAAAAGTCCAGAGACTGTAGGTGAACGGGCACCAGAGCATGATGTGGTTGCTGGATTCGGGATCATCTTTACACAAGAAGCATCTGTTGATCATGATTTTTCCTCTTTTCATCAAGTTATCTATAGTCAGAATACGTTCATTTACCACTTCCCAAGCAAAGAAAGAAATCCAGGTTGGTGCTTTAATACCCAAAAACTATACACAAAAGTCCAGAGACTGTAGGTGAACGGGCACCAGAGCATGATGTGGTTGCTGGATTCGGGATCATCTTTACACAAGAAGCATCTGT